TTTATAAGGTCATCTGTATGAAAAGGAGTAGGTTGAAGCAAAACTTATATTGTCCTACACTTTCCTTACTTTTCAATTAATCAATATTATTTAGATTTTTATTTCAATTACTGACTGATAAATACATACAGTGTATATATATTTATATATACAGTATATATGATATGACTGTTTATACTGTTTTTAGGTTGTTCTTTTTTTATTAAACAGTCAAAATAATCAATCTCGAGGTTAACAATAAAACAATGTTGCTTAAGTTAAGTAAAATAAGTAAATGAAACAGTTGCATAGTTTTAACCAATAAAAAACCCAAACCTGTGCGGCTCGTTCTGAGCCCGCGAGGTCGATCATGAACAGACGAGCGAAGCGGACCTCCTGCAGGACGTCACGACAGCGGCTCTGCTGCTTCACGGCCACCTGGAGCACTGCGTGGGAGCGAGACGACGTTTGATTAGCAGCCGTTGGCTCCTGCGTGCGCTGCTTGTTGCCCCTCATTAGCAATTCCATGATCTGAAAACACACGCGTACAAGTCTTCGATCATATTTTTGCGAGTTTCGAGTTTTCACAGCGTTGATTACACCTAAAGAGTCCCACAGTCATGGGCTGGGTAACCTCGCACCTCTTGGGCGTTAATGGTAGACACCTCCGTGATGCCTGCAACCTGAATCACCCCCTTAGAGTCTTCTCTCAGGTCTAAGAAGCCTGAGGAGGGGTTCAGCAGGTCCCGGATCATCTCATTATAGATCTGAGAAGACATGGACAGAAGTATATAACGTCAGCAACACAAGGAGGGCGAACAGAAAGTGATGTTTCTTAGGTGACGAACTGGGAAAATGTGTTTATTTTTGAAATCTCAGTACTCGGACTTGGTTCAGGAACATTAAGAGATATATTCTGACCAACATCTGAATAAGAAACGTTAACTTGTTGCCTGGTAAGCTGTCATCAGACCAGTGCCAGGGCTCTCCTTTTGTGACTGGACTGACACTGATGGCCTAAGTGAGAGCCGCATGAAGGCAAAAAGCAGGAAGAGACATCTTGCAAAGTGATTACAAGCTGACAATCTGCCAGCAGTCTTACAATGCCAAGCTCACCCTGGACAACTACACAAACAAGAGGATGCTTTCACTCACTCTGACAGCTGGATATTAGTTCTAGTATTTTTTTCCCAACCATTCGCTCTCATTGCTAGTGGAGTTTAAAGTGGGGTATTATGTATTTTCCAGGCACATCAGTTCTGTACCACAATCAACTAAGTTATCTTCAGTTGTTATAAAAATGCTGTAAATATCAAAAATAAATTAGACTTTGCATCGTAGCCTTGAAATGAACCTCTGTCTCTTTAAGAACCTCCTACCGTTTCAGACACTCCCACTTCAGCACGTTTTTAAACAACGCTTCAGGGGGGAGGGGTGCCCTGTGGGGCGTGAGCTCGGCTGCAGACCGAGCTCCAGGGAGGAGCTTCGTGCAAATAGGAGGAGCTTTGCACCAGCAAATGTTTAAGCTGCTTCACAAGACTACCACAGGAGATTCAAGGATTTCTCAAACATGCATGAATGAGCCAAAGCAACACTCTGGGTGTGTTTTTAATGAGGGAGTGACATCATAACATGATATAAAGCTAAAAAAATTGGCCAATTTGCATAATACTCCCCCTTTAAATCAGTGTTAGGCTGTGAATAATCATATAGCAATTGCATATAAGAGCTCACAGGTTGGTTTATTCGCACACATTTCATTCAACACCACAAAACAAATAATTTTATATACAATATGCAATAAAAAGAAAAATATAAAAAGAAAAATTATA